ATATAAATTAATCATACATTTTAAATCGTTATATTTTATTCCATTCCGCTTCATTATCACGGTCTACTATGCTTAATTGTACCTTTATTTATTCATTTCATTTGCTTTCATTTACTATTCATCATATTACGACGTTTGAAGTTCTTATTTTACTACTCTACTTTATTCTACTTTTATCTACAAGTTTATTCTCTTACGTATTTCGAAATATGAATTTTGTACTCATGTTGTTTGGAATACGGGCCTACGTGTCATGGATGGCTAGATAATAAATAAATAAATGAGGTATGCGTAAGTTAATGTTATTGAATGAAATGACTTACCGAACATCATGAAAAATAGTGTACGGACTTGGTACATAGGGTAAACCCTATCATGGATGTTATCCTCAACCGTAAGGGGCTGCAAAGTCCCAAATTGGACAAGGTTAGGAGTAATTTATTTTGCTCATATTGGACGGGGTATTGAGACAGTTTTTAGTATGTAGCGCCCATTACCGAATGGAGTATGGAGACAACCGAATATTTAGAAAGAAAGCATTATGTACCCACACGTAATGGAGATCCCTATGGCCCCCCAGTGATACCGGTAGGAAAAAATTAATATGGTAAGATATGAATGAGTATGATAAGAAACGTGATTTCAGACAAATGGTAAAGAACCTAACGTTATATGTTTATTTGAATGTGTACTTGTTGTGATTAAATTGTCATTCTAATTTTATTTAGTGTATTATGCTGTTAGACTACTAGTCAGGAGAGAGAATATTAACGTTTCCAATAAAATGAACAAGGAATGCATTAACATTTGGATTTCATTAAAATTATACCTCATCGGTCGTTTTATGTTTTATATAATCATTTAATTTTCCGTGTCAGTAGTAAGATGTTGATATTTTTACTGAATTAGTATAGCTCACCTCTTTCTTATTAAACATTTCATATTAGGACGAATAAGATCTGGATCCTGAACAGCAAGAGATTAGTTAAGCAATTATTTCTTTCTACTCTGCCAATTTCAAATCGAGGTTAATAATAATTATTTTGTAGTGGTTTCTCATTTTAAGTTTTTAAAAAATTCCTTTATTCTCTGTTTGAGTATTTTAGATAAACGTGCAAGAAATGAAATATGCGAACCTTTAATTCTCTTATTCAATGAAAATTTTAGTATTATTATTATGATGATCAGACAAAATGTTTAAAATCTCTGATAGAGGTATGAGTTTATATATATACATATATAATATACACGAAATATTATTGATTAATTAGGTGGTTAAAAATGGTTGATTAATCAATTTTCCTCTAATACTTACATATCTTTTTTAGGCGAGAAATCAATGCACAAAAGTCAAATATAATTTAAGAGGGGCCATAATATTTATAAAACTCTTATCTTCATAATCATTATCAATGTGAAATGTGGATTTGTGATCAATTTTTAATACTTTAATTTAATAATTAAATTAATAAATTGATTAATTATATCTTTAATCTACCCTCTCAAATATATATACACGTGTATGTATATGAACAAACACACACATTTGAAACAGACTTGCCCCATCTAGACTAAAATATATATAATAAATCCATTAATTAATGGATTAGTTATAATTTTCTATGTCCTCTCATACATAAATATATATAGATATATATGTATATTTATTAATTTGGAAAGAAGCATGCCTCCCGTAGACTAACATGTTAAAGAAAAATACAAATAAAATAGTTCGTTTTTCAAAGGTATTTAATTGAAACACGTAAAGAATCCAATTAATACTAATTAAAAAAACAAAAAAAAAAAAATTCGATTCATGTTTTGCATGAATTTAACTTTACTTTACTTCTTCGTTGGTGACCGCTTTGATGGGGAAATCACACCCAATTTTCTTGTTTGCTTCTATAATTTGGCTTCTGTTATTCAATTATTTTAATTTATTTGAAAATTTCGTGCTTAAAAATTAATTTTGAAAATTTGTTCCAATTTTTTCTCACTAACCCACAAATTATTTACCAAATTATGTTGTACCCATGTTTTAAAAAAAATGTGTAAGTAATTTGTAAAATTATATGGGCAAAATAAAAAAAATAGATTGCCCAATTTATTTCGCTAATTAAATGTATAAGAAAAAGAGCAATATATTATTTATATCATTTAAATATATCTTACGTTAAAATTTAAATTTTAATAACAAAAAAAAAGTTAAATTTATATTAATCTACAATGTCTTATTTGATGTAAGAGTGCCCATCTAATTTTCTCTTAAAAATTAAATTTTTAACATGAATAAATATATACATATAAATAGACACACAAACACATAGGATTCCAACCTTTAAAAAAATATGAATTATTGATTTTTAATGCCGTATAAAGTAATTAGATGATTAATTATCTTAAACTAATTTTAAGTCCATACAAAATTCTCAATCATATTATTTATATTCTAATATATTTTTCATCCAAATTTTTATTTTTAAATATGCATTTTTTTTTTATCTTAAGTCTAGGAATATTTTCAAACCAACAAGAATAATCCAAGTAATAAATTATTCAAGTGACCTATTGATGGATGTTGAAAGAAGATAGAATTTGGGTAGACAATAAATTTTGACAAAAAAAATAAAAGTGAAATCAGAAATGATTGGACCACAAATTATATTCAAATAATCCTTTGTTTTTCTTTTTCCAATTTGCACGTAATAACATACCACGCTGGTTAAAGTATGAGGGACTACAAGACGTCTAATTGAATGTCTTTTGTGTAGAAAACGTGTTACAAGTTTGTGAATTTCAATAAATATGAAATAATTTTGTAAAAATTTGTAATCGCACACCACATTTGGTATATACATACATATATATATATATATGTCTATATATAGTTAATGCATACATATTTGGGAATATTAATTGTTATCCGTACACTTGAAGTTGGAAAATATTCATATATTAACAAATTAAATTACATAGATGTACTTTTTAAGGTGTAGAATTTTACATGGAATAAAAATCAAGATATGTAGAGATTGTACATTTGTTAGATTTTTTTAAAATATTATATGGTCTTATAATATTTAATACTATAACTTATGTTACGATAAAATAAAAAAAAATAAAAAAAATCTAACTTGGACTACCTAAAATTATTTTTCATGCAAGTTAGAATTAGTTGATTGATTTGAAGTTTGAACACGTACAAAGTTGGTCCATGCCAAAGACCAAAGTCTTCTTCCCGCAAACTTTTGCTCAAAGTTTCAAACTTTGGTTTAATTATATGTCGTTGTCACCAAATTAAATTTAAATTAATTATTCTGCATTAACCTAATTAAGTTATGTGTGATTGATATAATATAATGTTGGAAGAGTCAATAATTAATTAAATAGTTTTCTCATTTATAAACTAAATACACAATTTGGTTTTGTGGGTTAATCAAAAAAAAGATTTAAAAGATATAATTTTCAACTTTTTGTCCCTATTAATAATGCTCCTTCAACACAAAGATTTGTGAAAAGGCATGTCGGCTGTTGCTGGAACCTGCCTCCATTCACGACTATGTTACTCTAAATTCAATTTTTATTATATAAAAAATTCTCTCTCTTTTTTTTTTTTAATTTTAGTTTCTTTTTTTTGGTTATTAATAATGGGTTATAAGCTTGAATTCCGATTTGGGTTTGATTAATTTATAATTATATAAATTTTTTCCTTTAATTTTATGCATTAAGACTATCTTTTTCTAATTTAATACATGTAAATTATTCATACCAAGATATTCATTCTAAAAAAAAAATAAACATTTAATTTGGGTTACAATTTATATTTATTTGCTAACAAGTTCATTCCGAAAATATAATTTGTTTTATAAAAATAAGTAGATCATTTACTTATAATTACTCAAACAAAAACTATATACTAATCAAAAGTCAAATTTAGAACCGTGTGCGATTTACCCAATTCGATATCTCATTAATTATCCCAATTAAAACACATAAAATTATGTAAACTGTTGTGCATATACATATACACACGTGTGTCGAGATCATACACAAAACACAATAAGTTTGTTTTACTATTTAAAACCCAATAAAACACAGAGTTGGAAATTAAGCCTACTAAACCCTTCACATATCACTATAAATTAAGTTAATTAACTTTGTATCCTATTTATTTGTAGGAGTTACTTAAAAATGGTGTTGTATTTATTATTTTAATATATAGTTTAATTACCACATTTATTGCCTTTAAAGCTAATTATAATAATATATACACACCAAATTAATTTAGTGCCTTTAAAGTTAAAAAATTGGCGTTTGCCTTTCTTCCTATTTAATTAATTTATACCAAATTAATTAGCTTAATAGCAGCGTATATTCTGTTTCCAATTTGTCTTTCTTCCTATTTAATTAATTTTTACAAAATTAGTTAGCCCAATAGCAACGTATAATTTGTTTCCAATTTGCCTTTCTTCCTATTTAATTAATTTATGCCAAATTAATTAGCCCAATAACAACGTATATTCTGTTTCCAATTAAATAAAATCATTAGGATTTAAAGTGCAGAGTGCCAATTAAATGTGATATTATTATGACAAAGTTTATATTACAAAAATATTTTACTTATATGATGATAAAATATACGAGGTAAATTAAAAAGAAAAAAATCATATTTTGCATTTTTCAAAAGATTAATTAATTTTGTATGCACAATGTAATAACATCATTTTATGTAAAAACTAATAAATAATTATGGAGTAAAAAACATGTGACATTACATCTTTATATAAGGATATTGGAGTTATATTTTTACCTCTTTTGCAAATATATGTATATATATATATATATTGTGTTATATTTTTATTTTAAATGAAGAAAAACGGCAATAAATTTTTCTTAAAAAATAAGTCGAAATGAACGAGAAACCAAGAACTGACCTACTCCTTCACTGTCCTGTCGGACCCGTCTTCTCTCCCATCTTTGCAGTATTTATAAGGAATCAGTACACCATACACCCACCACTCACCCCCACACATATTCAACCATCACAAATTCACATTTACAAATACCCCTGCAACAACACCCAAAAAAAAAAAAAGGAAAATCAAGAAAAAAAAAACCATTCAAATCCAAAATTTATAAAACGCATGATAACACTTATGGCTGCTTTCCATCATCATCATCATTTTCATCTTCTTCTTCAACTAATATTTATTTTCATCTTTATTTTCCCGCCCACCCATTGTTTGTCTTTTTCCTCGAAACGAGCAGTCGTTTTGCCTCTGAAAACCGAGCTCCTCCCACGTGCGTCGTCGTCATCGTCCCTAAACAGATTCCTTGCTTCTTCGTCAGCTCGAACGAGTAAGCTCCCCTTTCACCATAACGTGACTCTAACAGTCTCTCTCTCTGTTGGCTCCCCTCCACAGAACGTCACCATGGTTCTCGACACCGGGAGTGAGCTTTCATGGTTGCACTGTAAGAAACAACCTGACTTGCACTCCGTTTTCAACCCGCTTGCCTCATCTTCCTATTCTCCAATCCCCTGCTCTTCCGCTGTATGCACAACCCGGACCCGGAATTTCCCTGTCCCTGCTTCATGCGACCCGAATAAACTCTGCCACGCTATCATCTCCTATGCTGACTTCACCTCCATCGAAGGAAACCTCGCGTACGACACCTTTGTTTTTGGCTCGTCAACCTGGAATCGGACTGTGTTCGGGTGTATGGACTCGGGTTTCAGCTCCAACACCGATGAAGACGCCAAAACCACCGGGCTAATGGGCATGAACCGCGGTTCTCTCTCGTTTGTCACCCAGATGGGTTTTCCCAAATTCTCGTACTGCATCTCGGGTTTTGACTCCTCCGGTATTCTCCTTCTCGGGGACGCCAGTTTCTCCTGGCTTACACCACTGAACTACACTCCTCTGGTCCAGATTTCCACGCCATTGCCGTACTTTGACCGAGTTGCCTATACGGTTCAGCTCGAAGGCATAAGAGTTGGAAACACGTTATTAGCTCTGCCGAAATCGGTTTTTGTACCGGACCATACCGGTGCGGGTCAAACAATGGTTGACTCGGGAACTCAATTCACTTTCTTACTCGGTCCGGTTTATACTGCGTTGAAAACAGAGTTCAGGAGACAAACGAATCGGGTTTTAAGTGTTTTGGATGACCCGAACTATGTTTTCCAAGGTGCAATGGATCTGTGCTACCGGGTCGAATCGACGCGTTCGAGTTTACCGGCATTGCCCACTGTCAGTTTAATGTTTCGAGGCGCCGAGATGAGCATTTCAGGCGAGAGGCTGCTGTTTCGAGTTCCTGAAACAGCAGGGGGGAATGATTCGGTGTATTGCTTCACGTTTGGAAACTCGGACTTGCTGGGAATAGAAGCATTCGTGATTGGCCACCACCATCAGCAGAACGTGTGGGTTGAGTTTGATCTTGTGAAATCAAGGGTCGGATTTGCTGACTTTCGGTGTGATCTCGCAAGTCAAAAGCTCGGTTTGACTCTTTAACTGGAACCAACAATGTCAAATAGAAATTTTTTGAATCACGTAACCCACAATGTCCATTTCGTGGCCCCCTTCGGGGAACAGTAGGTTGACCGTTGATCGTTCATCGTGCGGTTCTCATGCATTACCGCACCCGTAGCCAAACTAATCGAAATGTACTTGATACAATCCTATTAGTGACCCATTTTTTGACTTTCAATAAATTTATAGGTTTTCGTTTTTTAATTTGTGATTCTCTGCATATTAGGTGAGGTTAGGTGCTGTGGAGCACAGAGAATCAATTTTCATTTGTTTGCGGTAGGGGGTTAATTATTGTGGGTCTCTCTGATTTAGATTCATCCAACGGCACATAGATTTTGCTTCCTACGGAATCCATAACGTGTCAAGAAGCTGCGGCGCATGTAATCAGATTGGAGTTTGGTAGATAGATTCTTCTGTAGATCTGACATTCTGACTGGTGACGTGAAAGTGTGAGATAAACTGACTTCCAGGCTGGCACTTAGGAATGCCGCCTCTTGATGTCGTATTGTCTTTCATTATAAGCCGTCGGATTAAATTTCCTTTTTCATCTTTGATTTTACAGTTGTTCTCTCATTCTTAAAACTAAATAAATAAAAACATGTTTAATTATAAGTGAGTTTATTATTTTTAAATAATAATAATATTATAATTTTTAAATATTTTATCTTTTGTCTCACTTATTTTTTAAAAATTTTTAAAAATAATTATTTAACCCGGACAATTAATAGATTTTACCAACTTACTTGAATTTTAAAATATTTTAAAACGGAGTCTGTAATTTAATATTACATTATTTTAGAATCCTATTATTCATAATTTTCAAAATTACTTTTCATCACTTATAATTTTATATTTTGCATAGAGTTTCCAAAATAATGAATACTGTAAAAATTCATAAGTACAGTCTAAAGAAAATCGTTTTAAATGAATTATTTAATTAATCATAAATATTTTAAGAGTTAAATATGGTAAGTCCATTACCTTCTATGTCATCCTTTTTAAATGTAAAAATAAAATTATAAAATGTAATCGTATAAATTTTGTCAAATTATAATAATTTTAAACAAAAATTATTTCATACAGATTTTTTGAATTCATTATAATGATCTCTAATTTGTTTTAAAAAATATTATCAGTTATTGATTACTGTCTTATATATTAATTTTTATAAATTATAATTATTAGATATATTTTCTTTTAAGTTCATATAAAATAAGTAGAGTATATGATGATATCAAAGAAAAAAAAAACCTAATCTAATATTTATAGCAACACAAAAAGAACAATGAATTAGATTTTTTCAAAAATAAAATATTTTTAAATTCACAACATCAAATATTAAAATATATTGAATTATATATGTAAGGCCCCGTTTTTTTTTCTTAATGGCGTAGTCTAAAACAATTCCACAATAAAATACGAAAGTTACATTTCAAATCAATCACACACATAGAAACCTTACAGCAATCGATTATTCAAAGTTAAGATCAACTTTGAACCCTACATGTAACATGTAACGACCCCGGAAATTTAAAAAAAATATATATAATAATTTGAGTGCGGAAACGAAATAAAAGTTAAGGTTAACATCCCTCACACAATAACTCAAAAGTACTAACAAACATTACGGAACAAATTTTCTGAAAGAAATACGAAAAATAGAAAAAAAATAAAGAAAATTATAAAGTATCTACCATCTACTCGTAGCCTTCTTGCGGATTGGGCTCGGCAACCGGGTCCTCTTGATCTGAAATGGTTAAATAAGGGGTGAGCTACACTAGCCCAGTAAGGATATCACACTATATCGCCGTCACAAAAATAAAGGCTGGTAGAAAATCAAAACAACTAATGGAGCAGTAGATTCAAATAGATTCGTTTATCATAAATGAAATCATTTACAGTTCACTTACCACTGTGTAATTTATGGAAACAATTTATAAAAGCAATAATATCATACGGATCACCATTTTATGCATAATCAGTAACTTAGAATATATCATAAATTTGTATTCATTAGCAATAATTGATCATCACCACTTCTCGTTTCACCAGCCTACTAGTATCCATGGGGATCCATAGGGGTGTTCCCGCTATACGTGAACTATTTTTCTTAACAATCTTAATTCCAGAGTTGTCCCCATACCCCCATCCGATATGAGTGTCAAGACATTAAACCTCAATACTCCGTCCGGTATTGCAGGTTTTGCAGGTTCTTAAAAGAAAGAAGTTGTATGTAAAGTTGAGTAAATGTGGATTTTGGCTTGAGCAGACCACCTTCCTGGGACATATCATATCAAATGATGAAGTATCAGTGAATCCTGAAAAGGTTGAAGCGGTGCTTGGCTGGAAGAAATTAATATCAGTTAAAGAAATCTGTAGTTTTCTGGGAATGACGAGCTATTACCGCAGGTTTGTTGAATGATTTTCTAGTCTAGCTGCTCCCCTAACCTGACTCACAAAGAAGAATGCCAAGTTTGAGTGGAATGAGAACTGTGAAAGAAGTTTTTTATAACTAAAGAAGCAGATGACTACTACACTTGTGCTGGCCTTACCGAGTGGATCAGGGGGATATACAGTTTACAGTTATGCCTCCTATCTAGGCCTGAGTTATGTTCTAATGCAGTATGGGAAGGTCATAGCCTATGGGTCCAGACAGTTAAAGAGTCATGAGAAAAATTATCCCACCCATGACTTAGAGCTTGCCGCAATCATACACGCCTTAAGACTTAGTTTCTTATTTATATGGAGAGACCTTTCAGATCTATACCGATCACAAGAGTTTGAAACACATATTCACTCAAAAAGATCTCAACATGCGTCAGAGAATGTGAAAAGAACTTCTCAAGAACTATGATTGTAACATCTTGTACCATTCGGGTAAGGGCAACGTGGTAACCGATGCACTCAGCAGAAAAAGTGTAGGTATCTTAGCCCATTTGTTGGTTTCAGAATGCAGGCAAATTGGGGCCACACAACATGTTCGACTTCAAGACTTGAGGAGAGTCACATGTTTAGGTCATCTGATCGTCTAACCTGAGTTAATCCATAGAATAAGGGAAACTCAGTCAGTTGATCCCGCCCTAGTAGCCATCAAGAACAATGCAGAATAGGGAGTTAGCTCAGAATTTCGAGTCTCCGCCGATGGGTTACTCCGATTCCAGGACAGGGTGTGTGTTCCAAGTGACAGTGAGTTAAAGAGAGACATCATAACAGAGGCTCATAACTCAAAGTTTGTCATGCATCCCGAAAATACTAAAATGTACCAAAGCATGCGACTCCAATTTTGGTGGAACAGGATGAAAAGAGACATAGTTGACTTTGTGTCTAAATGCTTAGTATGCCAGCAGGTCAAGGCAGAACATCAGCGCCCAGGTGAGTTACTTCAACCATTACCGATCCTATAGTGAAAGTGGGAATATATCACCATAGACTTCGTGACAGAGTTACTTAAGGCACGCTCAGGACATGATGTCGTCTGGGTAATTATTGACTGGTTTATCAAGTCTTCCCACTTATTGGCCATCAGGATGACCGATCCCTTGGACAAGTTAGCATGAATATATATCCAGAAAATAGTCAGATTGCATAGAGTTCCAGTGACAGTGGTGTCCGACAAGGACCTCCGGTTCACTTCTCGGTTTTGGAGTAGCTTTCAGTAAGTCATGGGAATAAAGCTATCCCTCAGTACTGCATTCCACCCTCAAACTGATGGACAGTCAGAAAGGACAATCTGTACACTTGAGGATATATTCTGAGTTTGTGTCCTTGACTCCGGAGGCCATTGGGGCGACCATCTACCCCTAATAGAGTTCGCCTACAACAACAACTACCAAGCGAGTATTGTCATGGCTCCGTATGAGGCATTATATAGCCGCCCATACAGATCGCTGATTTGTTGGGAAGAAATTGGCGATAAAAAATTGTTCGGCCCAGATCTGATAGAGGAGACTACATCCAAAATAGTTAAGATCAACAAGAACATTCAGACGGCTCAGAGCAGACAAAAGAGTTATGCGGACACCCAGAAAAGAGATTTAGCGTTTAAGGAAGGCGACCGAGTGTTCTTTAAGGTCACTTCTTTTAAGGGAATCAGCAGGTTCGGCAAGAGGGAGAAACTGAACCCCGATTTATTGGATCATTTGAAGTCTTAGACAGGATTGGTATTGCCGGCTATAGACTAGCACTACCTCCAGAACTTTCTAAGGTCCACAATGTATTTCATGTGTCCATGCTACGTAAGTACAACCCGGACCCCTCTCATGTCTTGGCCCACGAACCTCTTTCACTTCAGGAGGATTTATCCTACGAGGAAGTACCAGTCGGCATTGCGGATCGAAGGAGCAGATTACTCCGCAACCGGGAGATATCCTTCGTGAAAGTCATATGGCAGAACCACACACCAAGGGAGGCCACATGGGAGCTAAAATCAGACTTTAGAGCCCAGTACCCCCAGCTGTTTGATCGAAAGTAAGAGGCAAATTTGAGAAACCAAATTTCTTTTAAGGGGGGAGAGTTGTAACACCCAACATTTAATTATTTTTATTTTTATTTAATTAATATTTTTTATATAAATATAATTATTATTTAATTTAATTTATTTTATTTTAATTTGATTTAATGAAAATAATAATAATAAAAATGGGTAAAAAATTAGTTAGGGATGTAATTGAAAATAATTTTGAGAAAAATGGGTGAAACTTTGGGTTATGGGGGTATTTTTGAAAGAAAAATCGAAAATTGGAGGTCAAAACACAATTTAAAAAAGTTACACCACGTCAACTGCCCGGTCAGCAGCCCCGACCAACCAGGACACGCCAGGTGGCAGAGGAGATGACGCGGGAGGACACGCAGGGGGAGCCACGTGGGTGATCCGAGTGCACGCAATCGAATGGCTGAGATCCGTTCTCCTCACGCACGGACGGCCCAGATTGCATCGTGTACGATCGGCCCAAATTGAATCGCACACGGATGGTCCAGATTGAATCGCGATGAACGGTCCAAATTCACTCCCTATTTAATTGCGATCGGACGATCCAGATTAAAAGCGATGGACGGCCCAGATAAAAAACTTATGGGTATAAATAACCTCATCTGCACCCAAACCCTAACCCTAACCACCAGAGCCCCTCGTCGGAGAAGACAGCCCAGCCGCCAGGGAGCCGACCACCGCCACCCGTCGTCGTACCGAAGCAATTTTCGACTATTGAATGAGGTAAAAAATTTTCATCTTGCACGAAATTCAATTTTAAACGTACCCATGGCCAAATCAGAGTGAAAGAATCGGCTGATTAGCCGAAAAATACCGCCGAAACTCGGCGCCGCCACCGCGGGGTGTTTTGAAAAATGCCTCTGATGAGGCCTTTCTCGATTCACGTTCAATGTGATTTTTCCATCATTTTGACCACCGTTTCCTTCTCTATAGGTTGACCGAAGCAAAACACCCAACCGCAACGTGAGCCAGAGGAGCCGCTGCACTGGAGAGCCCCACCACCGGTGAGTTTCGATTTTCTGCATTTTTTCGGCCTACCAAGGGCCCTAAGTGTGTTTTATCGCAGGAACCAGTGCAAGTTCGGCTAAATTCGGGCAAAAGGGCCAAAAATAGCCAACCCGAGGTGGATCGCCGCCGGGAGCGGCAGCGCCGTGCCGAAATTCTGAAATTGGTTGAGCAGACCGTGGGTCTTATTTTTGGGTTTATTTGGGACACTTGTAGGTACCGTAAGCGCGTTTCAGTTCTCGAATGAAAATTTAGGGAACCCGGGGATCGCCTGTAGGCGCAGTAACCATCTAGTTTTTGGGGTCGAATTAAATAAGGACCTCTCACCATATTTTCTATCATGGAATTAAAGTTTGAATAAATGATAATACTGTATTTTGTACAAATTAAATAGATATGTATAATTAATTACGGTTGTTAATAGAGCCCGAACCGGACATTATTCTCTGTCGATTCTTGTTTGATTTATTTTATAGTTTAAATGCATTATAGTATCTGGTTTATCTATTCTATGATTTTAAATGGATGTATCACTGCTTCCTTCACTACTGTTTGATTTTAGGAATCTAATATATGATTGCATTGTTGGATGCATGTTACTTGTTTATGTATTTATGTTTGATTTGGTAACGGAGATTAAGGACAAAAAGGAATGAGATGTGATCTGATAAATGGATAAGGTGACAGCCTCACTAGATATCCTGGGAGATGGTGGACGGACCGGGTTCATAGAGAACCGTACCGTGAACGTTATCTCATACTGATTGGGGTATGGAGACTTGGTCATTTGGCGCTCATACCAGACGGGGTATAGGGACGGCCTGCTTCACCCTTATACCGAACAGGATATTGAGATTTAATGTCTTGGTGCTCATACCAGATGGGGTATGGAGACGGCCATGGAATTAAGATGGTTAAGAAAAATGATTCATGTGTAGCGGGGACACCCCTATGGATCCCCATGGATACCAGTAGACTGGTGAAACTATAAGTGATGATGATCAATTATTGTTAATGAATACAAATTTATGATATGTTCTATGCTACTGATTATGCATGAAATGGTGATTCGTATAATATTATTGCTTTTATAAATTGTTTCCATAAATTCTACAGCGGTAAGTGAACTATAAATGATTTCATTTATGATAAACGAATCTATTTGAATCTACTGCTCCATTGGTTGTTTTGATTTTTTACCAACCTTTACTTTTGTGACGGCGATATAGTGTGATGTCCTTACTGGGCTAGTATAGTTCATCCCTTATTTACCCATTTCATATCAGGAGGACCCAGTTCCCGAGTCCGATCCGTAAGAAGGCTACGAGTAGATGCTAGATATTTTATAGTTTTCTTTATTTTTTTTCCATTTTTCGTATTTCTTTCAGAGAATTTTTTCCGTAATGTTTATTAGTACTTTTGAGTTATCGTGTAAGGGACATTAACCTTAACCTTTATTTCGCTTCCGAACTCAAATTATTATATGCATTTCTTTTTAAATTTCTAGAGTCGTTACATAACATCACGGTGAAATATAATCTCATAGACTCCCAACAGACATACTATCTATACTACTACTAATTTTTACACACTCAATCATGCCAAATAAAGAAAACATCCTTGCTCTGTTCCTCTATCCGCTAGGCTCAGAAACCAGCAACTCTGATCCCGACTCCCTCCCTACTTCATCTGTGAATAATAAAGAGTTAGTACATATAACTCAGTACAGTAAAAATTTAGTTATAAGTATCATATGCAATAATAGGGAACTCAGCATTTCTATATTTACTTCACATACTTAACCTAAGTCATACCTTAAGACCACCCTGGGACTACTAAGAACTAATACCTATCATTGGTAATTTAAATATTATGCATGTCAAATGTGATCGTCTCATGATGTCCCCCAACTGTACAAATATTCTCACCCATCACCAGTATCGGCGATCATCATTAAACGGCCTACCTCTCGACCCCTAACGGACCACACACACACACAGATATTATTCTTTTCAGTCACCAATATCGACGACCCAACCCCTTCCTCGTTGGAGTCTCCTGACCATCACCACTATCAGCGATCAACTTACTTCTTCTAGGTAGCGACAACCAACATCGGCGTCCCCCAATGCTATCAACTCAAAAACAATATCATCCTGCTCTCATTCCACCACCTTGTCCTGAAGCTCTCCTATACCTATAACCTGTGTACCGAAACTACACGCATCTCCCCATAAGACACACACTAACACTTAACACACCCACACCAGTAATGTTCCCTTGCCAACTACCAAATTCACAGCAGCTATACTAACCTATATACAACCCACACCCTCACACTGGACAGCTACACCACTCACCCCCTCGCACTACACAGTTACACCCATACACCTCTATCCCGAAACCTCTCAACCACACTCTATAGGGCTCTCTTTCTTCCTCCCTAATTTTCAACATAAACACACTCCACCATTCCTTGCCTACCTCCACTCACAACCACACACCACTTCCTCTCTTACACAAATCCACCTCACTCACCGAATCCCTTTTTCTCTCTCCTTCCACAGCCTACTCTAAATACCCCACTCATAATCACAAAATCACCTCTCTTTCATGAACCTCACTCACACACCGCATTCCTTCTTCTCTCTCCTCCCCATACTTCCATTCATACTCACACAAAATCCTCTCTCTCACACGGGCCTCACTCACACACCGCGTTCTTTCCTCTCTCTCCTCTCGCGCCCCCCTCTTTAAACCTCCATTCATACTCACACAGAATCTCCTCCCTCTCACGAACCTCACTCATACACCGCACTCCTTCTTTTCTCTCCTCCCGAAGCCCCCCTCCATAAACCTCCCTTCATACTCACACAAAATCTCCTCCCTCTCACGAACCTCACTCACACACCGCACTCCTTCTTTTCTCTCCTCCCGCAGCCTCCTCCATATGCCCCCGCTCATACTCATACAACATCTTCTCTCTCTCACGGACTCCCTCACACACTACATTCCTTATTCGCTCTCCTCCCGCGGCCTCCTCCATACACCTTCACTCATACTCACACAAAATCCTCCACCTACAGTCAAAATTTTAAATCTACATCAACCTACGCCTGTAACTTAAAGTTTACCGTACTTCCCATCTCCATCTTTCTTATTCCCGTGGCTCGCTCTGTCACCGTCCTCTTTCTCCTCCTCTCTCTCTTCTCGTTCCTCTCTACTCCGACTCTTCTCTCTCTCTCTCGAACCTTCTCTTCCCCTTGATCTCTCTTTTCTGTTTTCTTTCTTTCTTTTCCTCTTATTTTTCTTTTCCTTTTTCCTTTCTTTTCTTTTTTTTTTCTTTCCCGTCCCCTATTTTTACCCCACCTGCTTCCATCCTACCCATCCATCTCACCTCATCCCAACCGTCCACTCCCTCCTCTCCAAATGACGTTGTTTCCTCATCCTCTTCTCCAAACGACGTCGTTTCCTTCCCCTCGTACCAAACGACACCGTTTCCTCCAAACGACGTCATTTTCTCCTCATCTTCTCCAAACGATGCCGTTTTCTCCCCCTCTTCTCCAAACGACACCGTTTCCTCCCCCTCTTCTCCAAACGGCATCGTTTCACTCTAACTATCTCTATATACACATATATACATACATGTCAGAATTTTTCTTTTTTTTTTCTTTACATCCAGTTACTACAATATAATTATCTAACATTATTAAAGATTAGTTTTGAATCAAATGAAACTCTTTCACAATTCATTTCTGTTTAATTTTTTAAATAAAATATTTTTATCTTAATCAGAATCATAATATATATCAACTATATATTTAGATATCTTATTAGGATCTATAGAAATCAAAGGAAGCTAATTCTAAAATTGGACTATTATTAATTTTTTTAATAATCACTTGAATATCATAAATAAATTGTATTTTAAAAATTAGTCCAAACAAGCTATCTAATTAATTGTCTTCATCTTTTAAAATTCTAAACATTATAAATCACTACCTGTGGTATTATAATTCATTTTATGTAAATTATAAGGATAACAATTTTTTTAAAACAATCTTTTAAACTTTGAAAACTTACATGGATGGAGAAAAAAAAAAACTGTTTTAAATAAATTTTTAATTTTGATATAATTTTTTTAAAAAAATTTCAAGTATTCTGAACTAATATTTGTAGTATTATAAGTAAATTTAATAAATTTTGTAAGTATAATTTAATTAATATCATCACATAAACCGTATTTTAGAGCTCGAAATATCACATTTTTTATTATTTTAAAGATAATTAATATAATTGGGAGATCTTCCAAACTTATGTTGATTATAATAAAATCCCTTCAAATGTAATCATAAATTCACTCTTATAATATTTAAAATTTTAATATAATGAGTTATATTATTCATGTTTTTAAAGTTGACTTCCAGAGACAGTAGAAGACCGAGTAGTGCAGTAAAAGATAATGGCCGAAACGACAACGTATAAGGATATTAACAGGTACCCGGTGATTGCAGTCCAGTAGATCATCATCAAATACGAACAGCGACAAAAGGTTGCAAGGAAAGCGTTGGTGGGGTTGGGCGCCAGGCAAGTGCGAACGCGGTTCGAGTCAACTCACCCCGCCCCCCACTCAAGTCGTCGTCTCCATTCACCTTTAACCGAAAGAAATTTTTCTTCCTCTGTCTGCTACGCACTCCATTGCTTGCTCAGTTCGTGGAATTCGATCTGTCGTTTTTTCTATCTGTTTTGTAAGTCCTCCTTATCACTTTCGTTCATCTATTGCTATTCTATATCTGGATTCATGATGGCTATAGATCTCCTAATGGAAGATTCTAATGCATTTGCACTTCGTTTCTTTAGAAGATTTGTGAATTCCTGTAAACCTGTTTTGGTTGTGAATAATATCCTTATTAGGGTTTCGATGTCGGCGTCGTCGTCATTATTGTGCATATGTTTGTAATGTAAATTTCCTGTGTGAATTCGAACGAGGCTCATTTACTTAATGTTGGCTCTAATGTTTGGCTGCAATCAATTAGGATTTAGCATTCTGGCTGTGTATAAATTTTGGGTACATATGTGTGCAAATCCTATTTACCTTTCCCAGATATACATATCTATATATACGTATATATTTACATGTGCAATTTGATCAGAATATACTCTTTTCGTGAAACTGATCATGCTTTATGAGTATAGACACGGGCATGTGGACTGTAAGCTCTTATTTGTACCAGTTTCCTGAATGTGCTCTTGTGCATGTGCAAATGTTCACTTATTAGTTAGGTTTTGTTTAGGGTATGTGGTCCTCTAATAATACAGTATTTCGAACTAGAGAAATTGGGAGGTGCCCAGTAAGAAGATGGTGATGTAGCCGTTAAGATGATTTGTTAGTATTGTGTGGAAAGTTGTTGATAGCTTTAGCTATTGGTGATTTTGTTTTAAGTTAAAATGAGTTTTCTTTCATTTTTCACTCAGAGAGGAAAACTATCTGGTGGTTGGTTTATAGTATTCATCTTACACAGTGAAATTAATGCAGAATGAAAATAAGCTAAAGTGAAAGATTTTGTGTCAGGAATTTCGTATGTGGTAATTATGTAATAAACCAGTAAATTTATTGTCATTTGGCAAATATTACTTAAACTTGGGATTTCTGAGTTTGATTAAGATAAAAAAAACTTTGATTTTTTCCTAATTAGTTTTGACTTTTGATATTTTCATTATTTGGTTGTGACAGAGAGAATGCTGGATTAGATTGGCTTTAGAATTGCTTGAATCACTAGTTTTGTTCTTTCTCATTGTTTTCCCTCCCTAAATGTCTATCCTCTATCCTGTCCTAATTGTATTAAGGGTCAACCTGCCCTGCATCAGTTGCTACCAAAGTCAAGTTGTCCTCCTACAATTAGTTTTAAAGCTACCGTGTCTTGCAATAGGAAGGCTGCTTGTCTGAGTACCACCAAGTTGACAATACTAATAATTGATTGTTATTTGATCTGGATTAATCACTGAAACTCATATGAGGGAAAACGTGGAGAAAAATAACATCATAGTTGGGGAAGAATTTGTGGTTCTTCTAAATTCTCTTTTTTTTTTTCTCCTAGAAACATAATAATAAGCCTACCAGCAGGCTGAATGAACGTAATTCCCAGTTATGCTCTTGAATTTTGTTTTCTAGAAGTAAACCTTCTTACCTCTTTTCTCTTTTACGAGATTGTTAGAATTAGTTTAATTAAAGCACCTTATAGACATTATTAATCAAATGGTTACTGAACCCGAAGAAAAAATAATGAATTTAATTTTTTGAAGAAAGTTGCTATTTTGTTTTTGTTTGGAACACTTATGAATGATGTCAGCTAGCTTGTTCAGAAAACCTATTAGACCTTTAATATGCAGTACATTCCCCTATATAAGATTGATTTCAGCTGGCTTCCTAAGGGTATATGTTTTTTGAAACTTTTGCAGAGTACGAAGGCTATATCGTAGGTGTTATTTCAGTGCCCCTATTCCTGATCTTGTTGTAACCAGGTTCTTGTATAATCATGAGTTTTGTCTTCCGTGGGACAAGAGCAGATTTAGAAAATGGATTTTCAGGATTTATTCCAGAACGGCGTGCTATGGTGTGTTGCTAGTGCTTGATACTCCTCTTTGCCTTGTGTATTGTTATGTCTAAATTAGGATTTTTACATAAGATATGCATGGTTGCATGAAAAGGTACTGATAAATGCATTTTGGTCTTAATTCCATCAGCGTGTCCATGCAGCCCGCCCTGTTAATTCCAACTCTCTTGCTTTTCTTGTCACAGGTAATGAAACTTCTACTTCTTAATCTTTTATTTTTCATATTTTTCTTAGAAGACATTTTCATATATTATTTTTGTTGAATATTTTTGACTTTCTGATACTTACTTTTTTTGATGGATGCACAGTTCTGTTGTTATTCATGATACTTAACTCACACCAGATGTCCCCTAACTTTCTGGTACTTTCTTCTTTAAAAAGAAAAACACTTTCTGGTACTTCTTTCAGTTATGATGTATATAAAGTATTTTAGCTTACTGGCTTGCAAATCCAAGGTTTAAATGTTTTAAATAGCTTTCTAGTTGTGCTGATACGAATTCATATGTGTAGCTATGGCTTGTGCTTGGGGTCTTCTTAATGGCAACCTCCCTGAGGATGTATGCAACTTGTCAACAACTTCAAGCTCAGGCACAAGCCCATGCTGCGGCAGCTAGTGGCCTTCTTGGTCATACTGAATTGCGGTTGCATATGCCACCATCGATTGCACTTGCAACTCGAGGGCGTTTGCAAGGGCTCAGGCTCCAGCTTGCTTTGCTGGACAGGGAATTCGATGAGCTGGGTGAGCATTTATAATAAAACTTGTCTATATAGAATCTGATAATCAGTTTCAGAGATGAACATATGATAGCGTTCCATTTTGAATTTGACCATTTTTAACAATTTATTTTTAACTAATTTTGTGTCCTTGTAAAGTGTGCTTCTTCACATATAATAGTTTTCTGTCTGCAGATTATGAGACTCTGAGGGCACTTGATTCTGATAATGTCCCTACAACTGCTTCAATGAGTGAGGAAGAGATAAATGCCCTTCCAGTTCATAAATACAAGGTCACTGGTCCTCAGAGGTGTGTGCAATATTTTATTTATCAGTTTATAGATGCTTCAAGATTCTGTCTGTGGCATAAACAACTGAATAAATGAATTTAAGGATGCTTTTGAAATTTTATTGCCTTTAGAAAGATACCTTTGTATATTTCCCCTTTTGTCTTGTTATAAGCAGCATTAATAAATTATCGATGCTCAGTCTTAATTTTTCACATTCGCCAAGCAAATATTTTCCTCATGTTTTCTGGGTATCATTATTCCTTTGTTTCCTTCTTTTTCTCTTATGTTAAATAAGTCATCATTTACTTATTGTATATGACTTCTCCCAGCTTTCAGTTCCCAATGTATGAAGCTTGCCAAAATATAAAATGTATGCAAATATCTTTCAGCCACACTCTGCAAGTAGTCTTTTCTGTGTATTTTTTAATTTCACCACCATCTCATTGTAATATTATTGCAAAGATGCCATGAGTTTTGAGAAATCATGTAAAATTATATTGGAGAGGGAGAGAAGGAAGTAGATGGTGTAAAGAAATTTAGAAGAGACTGGATAGCTTTGTCTTTTCAATACTAGCAACAAATGACAGTTTTGTTTCTCACTTAAAACAAGAAGGGGATGTAAATGAAACTAATGTTTGCTCTGCAATGCTAGTTTTTGGTAATGAACATTCTTCTTCTATGTGGGATGTAAATGAAATAATGTTTGCTCTTCAATACTAGTTTTGGTAATGAACATTCTTCTTCTATGTTGAGATTTTGATAAATCACATTCATTGATGACTCGACTTTTCTTGGTAGCAGCTCTTCGTCAGTGCTACAGGGATCATCTTCAAGCTCAGCTGAGGTACTAGCTGTTTCCTCTTTTTTCTCGTTACAAATAACTGAATAACAAGGATCAGCTTCAACTGATAAAGTGTTTAGCTATATCATATATTTGTTCCATAATTTGAGAATGGAATTTTACTAAGTTGTATTCTTCAGCAAAAGAAGCAGGATACCGCAGTTACAGTAGGGAGTATGAAGAGTGCAGAGGATGAATTGACTTGCAGTGTATGCTTGGAGCAAGTTAACGTGGGAGAACTTGTCCGTAGCTTGCCTTGCTTGCATCAGGTTTGTTCTGTCCTAGCAGTGAACAAATTTTTGCTCTTTGACCAAACGAAATGTGAAAGGTTGCATAATTGCTTTATTTTCTCTGGACTAAGCCTTAGTTCTAGTAAGGATATCTCCACTAGCGTGCATAGGGTGCAGATGTGGTGCATGAATCTGTGGGTGCCTGCCCATATGAGGATTGAATATCTTACTATTTCAGCCTTACGTGTCTAATTTTGGGGTCTGGTTGTTGCAGTTCCATGCAAATTGCATTGATCCGTGGCTGCGACAACAGGGAACATGCCCTGTTTGTAAGTTCAGAGCCGGATCAGGGTGGCATGAAACAGAGCAAGCTGGCGCGGATGCTTCTTTCATGGTCTAAAAGACTGGCATGAACTTATGTATACAAAACAATGTAAAACCCACCACGAGCATTGATGAGCATAAAATGCTTTTAACTTGTAATGATTTACCATGAAAGAAATGCCCAACTACTGATTATTCAATCATCCTCATCGATTTTCTGCCCTACCTAACAGCACTTCGTTCCCATTGATTTGCCCTGGAACGACCTTTGATGATTGTAGCCAAGGATATCATCATTTTAGGGAAACAAATATGACCTAACAACGGAAAAGTGATCTATGTTATTTTTGCTGCAACCATCTTCCTTTATAACAAGTTTAAACCATCTGATTTTATTTTGATTCGATTGTAACTTAAAATCTTTTGTATACTGACGTTAAATATTCAGACACTGTCAAAATATTTTATCTTAAAAAAAATATTTTGTATAATGCAAAAATAAAATAAAATCAGTAATCATGAAATTATAAAAAATTTATAAAGATCAAATTAGCAGTAGTGTCAAATTAGGCGGAAAGACTAAGAGTCCAGATAAATGTATCATCGGGACTATAGCTTGTCATAAGTCTATTGATAGTATTATTATTTTTATGACATAAACTTCAAAACAGTTTCACGTACCTATCCAAATTATAAGACATAAAATGTGATACAAGGGCATATTATTTTGCTTTTCCTTTTCCCTTCCCTTGACCTTTCTTGGATTCTAACTTGGCTTGAATGCGGGCTGCAGCAGCAGCTTTGGCTTCTTCTCTCTTCTTCTTTTCTTCCTCCTTGGCAGCCGCAGCCAGCTCCCTCTGTTTCTTCAGCTCTCTGGTTTTAAGTTTGCCAAACAGATATTCAACAATTCAGTTTAGGTTATGGTGATATACAAGCTGAAAATAGGATGAACCGTAACATTTTATACAGCAATTGAAGATGGAAATCCAGAATGAAAACAGCAACTTACTCCAGTCTAGCTCTCTCCTCCGAAACGCTACTGAGACTAGAACCCTTCCGTGGTTTGCAAGCTACTAACTCGACCTCGAACATAAGCGTTGCACTGCATCAAATAGTGTTAGTAATCCTTCGCTTGATTCAAAATATTAATTGCATGGAATAAGAAACTGTAATTTTTTTTTTGAAATAAAAAGAAGAAAATGTAAATAAAGTTAAAATGAGAATAATAGTTTCAATTTTATTTTCAACTCAAGTTCAGCAGATTGGGCCATTGAAAGTCTCAAACAGGAACAAAATATAGCTACTTGCAGTTATTTCAACAGCAATTGAACTGTTCCTCAAACCGTATAAAGAGCACCAGGGTCAAGAAAAGACGGGGCTTGACAAGGATAAGATGAAACTGGTACATGAAAGGCCTGCCATGGAATCATACGCTTGAATGGGATTTGTCTGGATCCAAAGCGACGAAGATGATCAAGGTGAACTACAGTCAAATTGGAGACACTGAGAGCACCATCACTACTGCTGACACAGGTATGTTTTGTTCCTAGATCTCTCACATTGCTATGCCTATATGTGAGAAGAGGTGAGATTGGCGATGGCAAGAACCTTACAGTTTTGCGTCTGGTGGTGTGTCCCAATTCTTTTCAGGCAATAAGTAATCAGCACTGCTTCCTATACAAAGCAGTTACCGTGGGCTGAAAAGGGGGAGTGCAAATCAAATAATCAATTAATGGCACAGGCGTAGCTCCTAACAATTACGGGCAGCCAATCTTCCAAAATGATGCAAGTGAAAGAACCAATTGCCAGTATTACTCGTAGTTTTCATCAAATCTGCCTTGACTTTTACAATGATTCATGATTTATTTAGTAAATGTCAATCTATGTTGGGTATAAAAATTGTTGGTGTAATGAGGTACATTGACAACAGATATGTTCTCAGGTGTGTGGTTCTAACTTCTAAGTGTCTCTATTACATGGGATTTCACTACCATGTTACTAAAAATGAGTAGCAAGTGGGGTCACATGAGATAAGAAGATCCAACTGTAGTCCCCCAAGATACTCATCTAAACAATTGATGGAAGAGCAGCATTGCCAGTATCCCATGGCTGCAATTTTAGCAGTGTTTAATGAGTCCACAAGTTTTCCTCCAACCCACTCCAGTTACCAGCAAAGTTTGTGCATACCTTGCCTTTCCTAGTTTTAATAGCAAAAAGCCTTAATGAAACGGGCAGTACAAATCTAGCAGTCCCAGTACCTATTTAACTTTTATCATACATGGAGACTCGGTATATCTAAATATAAAGAATGAATAGCATACTCTGGAGGTATATCCGGTGGAGACCCCATACTGCCATATGCATATTCTGGCTTGCAAGTTACTTTTGCAACCTCCCCCACCTGGCAGAAGGACCAATAACCAGGAATAAAAATTGGGAAGTTAACATCAATGATTGTGCATAATAAGCTTAATATGAAAATAACACTATAAATTGGATGCAAGTTGAACCAAGCACACTGTAAAAGAACATTTTAGGAAGAGTGTTCTCACCTTCATGGTTCTTAATGCAATGTCCCAGGCCTGAATTACAGAGCCCTTTCCAACTTCAAACGAAAATACAGTATTATCCTCACGTGTAGTATCGAAAATTTCACCAGTTTCAGCAAGAGTACCTTCATAGTGAACTGCCATCACGCATAAAAAAATTGAATAATCATCGACCTAAAAGATTTGTGGACAGGTGAAAAATGTTTGTCATCCAACTGAAATAGACAAGAACACAAAAAAACATGAGGGAAAATCAGCCACTTCTCGTCCATGCTGGCGAAGGATGGGGTTCTCTAACATATCAGCCCAAACACCAAACACCAACCCCCGTTGATTTGAAAATTTTCATTTTCTAAGAAATTATCTTCTTTTCTAAGCTGTTATAGAGTCAAAACTACCTTCTCTGCCTTGTTTAATATATCGAAAGCATATGCAAATCTATCCTCTTCTAAGCCATTACAAAGTTAAAGCTACCTTCTATCTCTTTTACAAACAATGGAAAGCATTCGCAAATCTATCAAGGAACATATGAACTAAATGATAAAAACATGAGGAACAACAAAAGCCAACAAATTGATCAACAGAATCTGATGCATACACGATCAAACAAATTATCTGGCTACAAAGCTCATTTTCAATAAACTATTCAGAATTCTCTAGCACACTTAAACTTAGTAAATTCAATCGAGCATAAGCTGCAAATTGCATACCATCGACAAGAGGAAGGTCCTTGGAAGGAGCAATTGCATCAGCTTTGGCATGCTTCAAGATCGTCTTGACAACACCTCCATCACCAGTCAAATCAATCATATCACTCATAGCTCGAAAATTTTCAAAAGCCCTGGTTTCCCAAGAGCACCTATAAAATGAAGTAAATGAGCAGAAGAAATCAAAGAAAACGAAAACAATTAGAATTAACAATTAAACTCACCCACATGCTTGCCAACCCGATTTAAAAAACCCGTAAATAGGGTACAGACCAATATAACAAGGTTAAGCAGACCCCACTAATACAATACATTAATTTTTTGTTGGTGATTAATTGATATTGTTAATTCTGTTAATTTGTTTTGCCACATAGGACCGTTACTTTGTTTAGCACGCAGGCCTCATGTTAACACTAATTTTCTGTTATATTTATGCACTTCTTCCTTTCCTTCTTGTATATAAATGAACAGCAGCTTCTGCTGTAAAAACAAATAATAAAAAAAAAAGCGTACAACTACAATTTCAAAATTCGAATTCTTCTTTCTATTCTTTAGTTTCAATATGGAATCATAGCAAAATAATTTTCTTCCTCTTTGATTTCTCCTCTGTTTTATTTTTCTTCTACCAAACAGCATTCTATTCTTCTTTTAGCTATCTTAAACGGCAACTCCTAGTTCAATGACTTCCAAATCAGAAAAATCTCTTTCTAGTCCTTATTATCTGCATTCAAATGAAAACCCATCCCTAATTTTAGTTTCACCAGTTTTCCCTGGATCTAGTTACCATTCATAGTGTAGATCTATGAAGATGGCTCTTCCGTCAAAGAACAAACTCAATTTTGTAGATGGAAGCATTCCAGCACCTGAAAAAGATGATTCTCTTTATTCGATTTGGCAGCATTGCAACACCATGGTTTTATAATGGTTGATGCACTCTGTTTCTCCATCTATTGCACAAAGTATTATTTGGCTAGACACTGCAACAGATGTTTGTAATGATTTAAGGGAACGATTTGCCCAAGGAGATTCTCTTCGCATTTCAGATTTACAGCAAGAGATTCATGGATTTCATTAAGGTGAATTGTCAGTTACAGATTATTTTAATCAATTGAAAATTCTTTGGGATGAGTTGATGAACTTGTGACCTATCCCTATTTGTTCTTGTGAAACTCTTTATAAGTGTAGAGCATTCGATGTTTTTAAGAAATATATAGAATCAGATCAGATTATTAAATTTCTAAGAGATTTGAATAAGAATTTTTTAACTGTTCATTCTCAAATTTTACTTATGGATCCACTACCTGCACTTAACAAAACTTTCGCTCTAGCTGTTCAACATGAGTGACAAGTTGCTATACCATTGCTTCCTACTCCTTCTGGTGAACCAATGGCTTTTGCTAATGGATCTTTCAACTCATGTAGACCTCCTTTTTGTCCTCAAATGCCCCTACCAATTTTACATCTAAACCACAATTTTCAAATCAGAATTCACCACCAAATACATTCAATAAACCAACATTCCATCGACCATTTAATACTGATTCTAAGAAAGCTCTGTGTACTTATTGTGGATTTCATAATCACACTGAAGAAAAGTGTTATAAGAGGCACAGTTATCCATCAGGTTATCAGTCAAGAAACTCTAGAAATGCAGATTTTGCCAAGGCTAATCAAGTGCAGGTTCATGATTCAGCCCTTGGAGATCCTACTTCTGTTGATGTTGATCATTCAAATGAACAATATGATGCTAATAATATCTTTGCTTCCAACAACCAGCCAGATCAGACACTTATGCCATTTACCAAGGAGCAATACCAACAATTGTTAGAGTCTCATTTAGCATCATAATCAACCCACTGTTGCTACAGTTTCAATTATTAACACATCTCAACCCGCTACTTTGCCTCCACCAAAAGCTAGTATGCCAATCACTAATAACATTTTTTCAGTAAGTACATCAAAGCATTCTAGTATTGAGGAGTGGATCATTAATTCTGGAGCAACGGATCATACTACTTCTTCATTAAGTCTCTTTACTTCTAATACTCCTGTCACTAATTTTTTTGTTAAATTACCTAAGGATCTTACTCTTCCAGTTAGTCACATTGGAGTTATTCACATTTCACAAGATCTCACACTTACTCTAGTTCTCTCTGTTCCACAGTTTACCTTCAATTTATTATCAGTTCAAAAACTTATATCAACTATTGACTATTGCTTTGTTTTCCTTAATCATCAATGTTTCATACAGGCTCTTCGATCGTGGAAAATGATTGGGCTAGCTGAGCATAGAGATGGTCTTTATCCTTGACATGTTCTTCACCTACACCAGTTGTCAATCATGTTTCATCCCTGTCTACCACATCTTTTGAATTATGGCATTATCGCATGGGGCATCTATCCACTCCTAGACTCCAACAACTTCTACAATCTCATTCAGGGATTTCTACTCCTCCCAATTTTGTTTGTGATATTATTATGTGGCCAAATAAAAGCGTTTGTCTTTTCCCTTGAGTACTACAAGTAGTATATATTATTTTGCGTTAATTTACATAGATATTTGGGGTCCTACTGAGAATTCTATCTCTGGTTATAGATATTTTCTCATTATTGTAGATGACTTCAGCCGTTTTACCTGGATTTTCTTTATGCACTGTAAATTTGAAATAAGACAGTTATTACAAAACTTTTGTACCTTGGTTTCCACTCAATTTTGTTCTAAAGTTCAGTCTATTAGAAGTGATAATGGTTCTGAGTTTTTTATGATTGATTTCTACAATCTTCATGGTATAATACACCATACTTCATGTGTCGAGACACCTCAACAGAATGGCTTAGCAGAACGCAAACATCAACATCTTTTTAATATGGCTCGTGCTTTGAAATTTCAAAGTCATCCACCTGCTTCATATTGGCCCTTCTTTATTACTCATGCTATACACTTAATCAATCGTACCTCATCTCCCATTATAAATAACAAGACTCCTTATGAATTATTACATCAATCTCCACCAGATTTATCTCATATAACAGTTTTTGGCTGTCTTTGTTTTATTTCTACACTATCACATAACAGATCCAAGTTTTCTCCCAAAGCCATTAAGGATAATTTCTTGGGTTACAAACCTGACACCAAAGGTTATAGAGTTCTGGATTTGCATACCAAGAAAATTATAGTTTCAAGAAATGTGATTTTTTATGAGAAACACTTTCCTTATCCTCCATCTTCAGATACTTCTTTTGTTTATCTTGTTCCATATCAATCTTTGGAATTTTTTTCTTCTTCTCCTTCTGTTACTTCTTCTCCTTCTGTTACTTCTTCTCCTTCTAATATTTTCTCACCTTCATATTGTAATCCTCCTCCACAACCTGTTTCTCTTCGACGTTCTATTAGAACCAGACATGCTCCTTCGTCCCTTCGTGATTACCATTGTCAATTGATCAATAAAGAGGCTGCTCAGGCTACTCATGATTTCACAGATCAAAGAGACACAGATTCTTCATGTACAAGCTCACCTCACCACTCTTTCTCAAGTACTTTCTTATTCTAATTTATCTACTTCACATAAGGCTTTTGTTCTTGCTATTACTGTATCCAGTGAGCCTACAACTTATTCTGAGACTGTTAAACACTCACATTGGCGTGCTACTATGCAAGTTGAATTAAAAGCTCTTGAAGCTAACAACACTTGGGATCTCACTTCTCTACCTCCTGGAAAACATCCTATTGGCTGCAAATGGGTATTTAAGGTCAAACATAAAGCTGACGGATCTGTTGAACAGTATAAAGTTAGGCTCGTTGCCAAAGACTTTGCGCAATAATCTGGACATGATTATAGAGAAACATTCTCTCTTATTGCCAAAATGACAACTATTAGAACATTCTTTGTTATTGCTGCTGTTAAAGGATGGTTTCTACATCAATTGGATATTAATAATGCATTTTTGCATGGTGACCTTGATGAAGAAGTTTATATGCTTCCTCCACCTAGTTTCGTTTCCTCTTCCCATCAGGTTTGCAAACTCAAAAAGTCCCTTTATGGACTTAAACAAGCTAGTCACCAATGGTATGTCAAACTATCTTCAGCTTTACTACAATAGGGATTTGTTCATGTTCCTGCTGATTCATCTTGTTTTGTCAAGCATTCCACCAATTCTTTTCTTGTTCTTTTGGTGTGCGTAGATAACATTATTTTGGCTAGTGATAACATGACAGCTCTTTCAGATATTAAAGTTTTTCTCCATACATCCTTCAGCATCAAAGATTTTGGCGCACTCAAATATTTCCTTGGCTTTGAAATTGTTCATTTTCATTCTGGAATTCACATTTGCCAACGTAAATATGCCCTTGAAATCCTTGCAGAAGCTGATTTTCTGGGTTGCAAACCAATCTCAACTCCGGTTGTTAATGATTCTTCAACTTCCACTGAATCTACTTCCTCAATTGATGCTACTGCTTATCGCCAATTAGTTGGCAAACTATTATATTTAACCAATACTATGCCAGATTTATCTTTTGTTGTACAACAAGTTTCTCAACACATGGATACTCCCACCACAGCATACCTAACTACTGTCCACAGGATTCTGCGTTACCTCAAACTAGCTCCTGGTCAAGGCTTATTATTTTCTTCTTCATCTACCTACCAGCTGCAAGCATTTTCTGACTCTGATTGGGCTCAATGTCCTCTTCCTCGCAAATCCATCACTAGTTTTTGTATTTTCTTTGGTGATGCTCTTATTTCATGGAAGCCTAAAAAGCGAACTACCATTGCTAAGTCTTCTACTGAAGCAGAGTATCGCGCTATGGCTGTCATAGCTTGTGAAATTCAATGGTTATCATTTCTTCTTAATAACTTGCATATTATTCCACCTGTTGCTGTATTGTTATTCTGTGATAATCAATCTGCCATGAAGATTGCCTACAATCTGTTTTTCACGAAAGAACTAAATATATTGAGATTGATTGTCATTTCATTCATAAAAAAGTTCAACAAAATCTTATACGATTAGTGCCTATTTCTTCATCTCAACAGCTTGCAGATTTCTTCACCAAAACCTTGCGTACTCCTCAATTTATCTGCTGTTATCAAAGCTGGGAATTTTCAATATTTAACTCTTCCCAGCTTGCGGGGGTCTAATACAATACATTAATTTTTTATTGGTGATTA